GTAAATCCCAGAAATGAGTGGAAAATGCAAATCAAACCCAATTAAAACTAATAATTTGATATACATCATGATATTTTTCTAGGGGGAGTAAAAAAATTTCTAGGGGGGGGTAAAAAAAAATTCCGGCGCGCTTCGCACGCCAAATTAAAATTTTTTACCCCCCCTACAGAATCCTTATATCCGCCCCTGCTCTGGTCAGAGTAGAATTTAGATGAGTGTAATCAAGGTAATAATGCAAGAAAAGTTAATTGCAGTTGCGTATACTCTGCGTTCATATTATATTGAAACCATTTCTCTCTGGGCGGAATTATATTATTATAACCTTGATTGTAATGAACGAAAACGTATCAGACATACAATCTGATACAATCTGATACAATCTGATACAATCTGATACAATCTGATACAATCTGATACAATCTCATAAACATTTCAAATTCTTGAGCATAGCCTCCTCAAGTCCCAAAACCTTACTTGTCTTTGAAAGGGACCCCAAACGACGCCAAACGGGACACTCAGTCCCAGGTAGTGATAGGCATTGCTTTGAGAATCTTACCAATTACTCTTTAAAAACAAGTGCTTCATGGTTCTTTAATGTATACATGTCAAGGGCAACAAATAAGACCCCGTCTTGAAAATTGGACCAACTTTTCAAACCAGTCTGAATCTGTCTGTTAGATGTACCCTAAATAAAAGTATTGTATAATTATGTAGCATATTGTAAATTTTTTCGTAGACTTTAGTTTGCTATATTGCCAACACATGGTTCGTTACAAAAGTAAACTAAATTTGTTTTAATCGTTGCAGCTTAGGAAGTGTTCTGTAAAACTAGAGGAAGGTCTGGAAAAAATCTACTAAATTAAAAACTTTAATTAAGTTCATGATTCTAAAATTAAGATTTGCTTTAAAGACAAAAACAAGTTGTTACAGTAAACATATATTCGTTTTAGGGTTTCCAGTCGTAATTACGTTACGCGTAATTACGCGTAATAATAACACTTTCTTTCACTTACGCAGGAGCATTACGCGTAATTACGCGTTTGTTACGTTTACGAAAGAAAGTCTAGTTTCGCGTAATTAAGGCGTAATTACGCGAAATTACGAAATACGAAACAATTCCGTAATAAATAAATTACATATTAATTCTCAGAAATAATTATAGCGGGACAGTATACTCAACCCCCCCCCCTTCTCCTATTCTTTCCTGAAAGGTAAGCTTGAGAAAGTAGGTTGAAATATTAACAAGTTGATGAAAATTAAAAATTTTATAGATTATGTATTTTTTGATAAAAATAAATTGTTGGCCCTTTGTTAAACTTTTTAGTTGGATCGAACGTGAAATTGAAGTTTCGCTAATTACGCGTAATTAATACAAAATTTCGCGAAATTACCTCGTAGAAATTACGCGAAATTAGGCCGTAATTACTCGTAATTATAGTTTCGCTTATTACGCATAATCATTTCGAAATTTCGCGAAATTACGTTGTAGAAATTACGCGAAATTACGCCGTAATTACGCGAAATGGATATTTCCCCAATTACGCGTAATCATGCGAAATTACACGAAATGAAAATTATTACGCGTAACTGCACGTAATTACGCGTAAAAGAATAATCTATTACGTTGGAAACCCTAATTCGTTTACAAGTTACAACTATATTAAGTGATGCAATAGGCCAACTTTTTAATTTTAAAATTGGAGAACTCATTATATTTCAAGTTTTCCAAAAGGTTGCTATGAAGTCTCATGATATAAACATATTTGTGGTGAACATCCTATCACATTTTATTTTTAGAATTTTATTATTTTAACGTCGAATGATTTCAAATATATATCAATGTTTTATCACAAATACAATCTATAAATATAAGATTATTTGATTTTATAAAGCATTATATTTTTCATGGGCCTCTGCAGTCAACTCTAAAAAGTCTTATTTTTAAAGGGACAGACCGGCTTGTAAGCTAGTTAATCTGAGTATGCAATGTTGCGGACAAATTCTTTAGGATTTATTACCCACCCAAATTCTTGATTTTGAACGTCGACTATGCACTCAAACTCAGTAATTATACATTGTGGACACGTTTTATACAGGGTGTCCCACGAAACATGACAGTTAGTTAATAGTTTAAAATGTCTTCTTCCCTAGTTTGTTAGGTTGTTTGATACCAAGGAGAATAATAAAAAATATTTCATGTCAGTTATATTATAGTAAAATGGATTTCAAAATAAAATATATTTCAGTAAAAGGTTTTTAAAGTGAATAAACTGCAAAAAGTCTTTAACATCCAATGCAGTAAATGGAAGAAGGCATTCAAAACTATTCACCAACTGTCATGTTTCGTGGGACACCCTGTATAAAACGTGTCCACAATGTATAATTAATGAGTTTGAGTGCAAGTCGACGTTCAAAATCTAGAGCTTGGGTGGGTACGTTTTAAGAATCTTTTTCTTTTTAAATATTAAAAAACGACGACGAAAAATAAAGTAAAAATTATACAGTAAACTACATACTTAGATGGTTAAAACATATTTCTCAAAAGAAATTTGTTAATATCAATGCTAGAATCAATTATTTCGTTTTCATCATTATATTGAATTTCTTATTTTTTAAAAATTTATTCGCAGATTTCTACAAATTCCTTAAATGTCGTCATTTCAATAATATTCCAGATAATCTACAGAAAATCTTTGTGAATAATTGAGAGATTATAGAAACTAATAATTGAATAAGATACTTATTTTCGATGATAAGATTAATTTTTATTTTCTCATCCTGTTCCTAAACAACTAATGAGTTTAATGTAGATTTTGTTTACTTTTTGTGTCGTCCTTATTTAATAATTTTTAAAAATCTGAAAACGTATCCACCCAAAAGTACGTTTTCAAACTTCGACTTTGCGCTGAAACCCAGGATTTACAGATCTTTAAAAAGTTTTACATATCTCAAATGAATCCTAAAGAATTTGTCCACAACACTGCATACTCAGTTTAACCAACTACCTTACATAACCGGTCTGTCCCTTGAAAATTGAAAATGTTATAAAAAAACTATGGTAAAATTTTCTACATTAAAAGTTTGAATTTTGATATTATTAAAATGCATTTATTGGAAATGAAAAAAAACCTTTTTTATTTAAAAGGAATTTATTTAATTTAAGTTTATGTAATTTGCCAAAATTCCTGCAAAGAAAAGTATTTGAGAAACATAAAAAAATTCATGAAAGATTATTTTAATGTTTCTCTTCATCACGCTTAGATTGAATGAATATGATGAAAGGGACTGTAAGCTTAATTTCAAAGGACCCTTAATAATAAAAAAATGGCAATTCCTTTTTTACAAGGGTACATTTTATACCTTAATCTGATAACAATGTGGAAGATAACGTCGTTTTTTTTGACTCGAAAAGAAAAAGTGCAAATAAACTGCAAATGAAAATAAATAGTTTAAATAAACATTAATATCTAATTCACACTTTTTCAGCCAACGCTTTTAAGAGTATTAATTACCGTTGGAAATTGGACATTGTCATCTTTACATAGAGGATTACTTGTAATCTTTACATAGAGGATTACTTGTCATCTTTACATAGAGGATTACTTGTCATCTTTACATAGAGGATTACTTGTCATCTTTAAAGAGGATTACTTGTCATCTTCATAGAGGATTACTTGTCATCTTTACATAGAGGATTACTTGTCATCTTTACATAGAGGATTACTTGT